CCAGGTCTGATTTAGCAGTACACAAAAGAGCACATACTGGAGAGAAGCCCTATAAATGTGACATTTGCTCTGCTGCTTTTGGCACTAGGTCTCATTTAAATGAACACACAAAAAGACATACTGGAGAGAAACCCTATAAATGTGACATTTGTTCTGCTTCATTTGTTACCAGGTCTGATTTAGCAGTACACAAAAGAGCACATACTGGAGAGAAGCCCTATAAATGTGACATTTGCTCTGCTGCTTTTGGCACTAGGTCTCATTTAAATGTACACACAAAAAGACATACTGGAGAGAAGCCCTATAAATGTGACATTTGTTCTGCTGCATTTGGTACTAGGTATACTTTAAGTGTACACAAGAGAGCACATACTGGAGAGAAGCCCTATAAATGTAATATTTGTTCTGCTGCTTTTGTTACTAGTTCTAAATAAAATGTACACAAAAAAAGACATACTGGAGAGAAACCTTATACATGTGACATTTGATTTGCTGCTTTTGTTATTAGGTCTCGGTTAACAGAACATAATAACAGAGCACATACGGGAGAGAAACCCTATAAATGTAACATTTGTTCTGCTTCTTTTTTTACTAAATGTGAAACATCTAGACACAAAAGAAGACATGCTGGAAAGAAACCACTATAAATGTGACATTTGTTCTCCTGCTTTTTTGTAGAAGTTATAAGTCTAAGTTAAATGAAACACACAAGGAGACATACAAGAGAAAAACTCTATAAATGTGACTTGTGTCATGCTTCCTTTGATAGTTTTTCTAAAAAAAATAGCTTGACACGAGAAGACGCATGAGACAAACACTAAAAGTTAGAAATGTTTGTTCTGCTTTTTTTGTGTTGTTACGCACTGACTTGTATTGGGAGAAATTAATCTCCTATTTTAATTTTAATTTGGCTCGATGTAAACAGTGCCTAACAAAGGACGATACCATAGAATCAACAATTATTAAAGATACGACCCAAAACAGTTTCTAGTTACAATTAATTAAGATTTATTATGTCTAAAGATAATTACAAAATAAAATAAAATAAAATTACAATCTTCAACTTACAGTATGGCAGATGTCGTACCGGTACACACTTAATACAATTAGAAATAATGATGCCAATAAATAATGCGGAATAAACACATATAAGTAGGAGCACACAAATACACAAAGAATAAAACACGCCTCGTAATGTTAAGAAAATCTATGTGAAAAATCTCCGTCTCCTCGTGCCTGTCAATCTCTTATATATATGTAGAGTAAGATGCTTCGAGAAGGGCTTATGACGTGTTGTTTACATCTCTCGGGTTAAGGAGTATATTCCAGAAATTACCCGAAAACAATCTACCCAATGCGTAATTGGAAGCCGACTGTAAACAAGCCACTTCAAAGACCTAAGCCACACCCCTTTGTGAACACAGCGTCTCATGCGGGGTCAATCAGAGGGCACGCACGAGAAAAACAAGCTCTCTATAACAGTGTGGTTCTTACTTGACTTGACACAAAACAAACATGAGAGAAAATAGCATAATGGGAATTTTTCTATATAATGTAACAGTAACAGTACTAAAGTTTGTTGTAATTGTACCCGGTAATGACTTTGTCATTAGTCTAATTTTAATGAGCCACAAAATACAAGGCACCCAGGAGTTTGTCCATTGTACTGATAAGATATGGCACTTCTGAGTTTTGTCCATTATAATTAGTACAAGGCACTTATAGTGTGTTTCATTGTAATTGTAATGCATTCAAACCTGTTTACTCTTATGATTTTGAGTTGTACGGGTATAAATTATATATATTGTATGTTTATTTTTTGCTATTAAGATAATGTATTGAATGATATTGTACGATTTTAAGCGTTCAGGGGTAAATAGGTCTGGAAATGGCACTTATAATTATAAGCTGGTCCATATTGTAATACATGGCACTTATTTAAAATTTGGTAACGGCATTTTTAAAATTAGGTACCGAGTACCACAAACTGGCTTAAAAACGAGTGTTTGTCTCACGGAATCCGGTATTTAGTAACTTTTCAATTCATATAGGTACCACAAAATTATTTTTCAAAACAGTCCTTTAGCTTTATTTTATACCGGGGGTACTAACATGTCAACAAATCGTGATTCTAAGAACGTGGATACCATGAATATAATTAAAACATTTCTTTTTATTTAATCTCAAATTAATGTAAATTAAGTGTGATTACAGTGTATTTCTTCATCTTCTATAAATTAAGCGCCCACGATCGATGTATTGATCATTCTGGCTCCTACGTGTGTAGAGGGGGGTTTTCACTGGTTGCAAGTGCTACTCAGTTGAGTCAAGCAAGTGCCAAGGCATGCCCTTATAAAATATTATATATATTAATATAATCCCATGCCATATCAATATCTCATTCCTGTTGAGTTTCTGCTCATGACTGGTAATCACTGGTATATGTCATATAGTAGCTTACTAAGCCCACATGCCTGATTGATAGACACTTAGTTTTGTTTTATCATTTATCTTACGATTATTCCTCATGTAACTTTCTACAAATGGTTGCAATTTGTTTTGTTTTTTCGTAACAATAAAATGCTATGTCTATACTAAAAAAAAAAAAAAAGTTGATGTGTTCAATGACTGATTAACAATGAAACATGCAAAAATAAATTAAATTTGTAAGAAAATGATTGCTTTAAATACTTGATAATTAATAATAGTATTATTTATTATACCGGTATACTTATATGAACAATATACCAGCAAATAAATTAACTTTATTTAAAATTTTTAATGCCTGTCTAAAATTCTGATGTCTTTTTTGTTCTAATTGGCATTGTGCCTGTCTAGCTTTCCTAAGGCGTAATAATAATGATTTATTTTGGTGCTTATGTAATACTGGTAATAAATGCCCTTACTTGCATTAGCACCTGCAGGAATTTTGAGTACCGGTATTAATAGTTTAAATTTAAATTAGATTTTCTTTTTTTTTTTTTTTTACAAACAAAGCAGTAATTAGTAAGCTTTTAATATAAACTATTTTAGAGTACGCTTCTACAGTCTGGGACCCATTTACCCAGAAAAACATCGACAGGTTGGAGGCGGTCCAGCGACGGGCAGCACGCTTTGTCATGAACCGCTACAGAAACACCTGAAGTGTTGGCAGCATGCTAGAAACACTGGGCTGGTCTACATTGGAAGAACGACGACGACTATCCAGGCTCACCATGTTGTACAAGATAAAAAATGGGCTGGTCCACTGCTCTGGAATCAAACAGAAACTCGTTCATCTTCCCCCTAGACTGCGACGAAGCCATGACAGACAGTTCCGGCTGGTAAAAACAAGAACAAAGTACAGGAGCTCCTCATACCTGCCGAAGACAATAGGGGACTGGAACAAGCTTCCAAAAGCAACAGTTGAGGCGGCTCCACTCGACACATTTGTGTCTATTGCCTCCTGTATTCCAACCCCCACTGCTGAGTCGCCCTTGCAACCAGTGAAGCATCCCATTGAAACCCATGCACAGTAACATCGCAAACCCCTCTGAAACATAGGAGCCAGAATGATCAATTCATTGATCGTGGGCCCTCGAAATAAAGAAGAAGAAGATAAACTATACAAATAATAGTATTAATAGACTCTTTTCAAATATTTCTTAATATTCCTTTTGGAAAAGGGCACAACTTTTTGTAGTCTTGCACACCCCATGGGTCCCCTATGTTAATAAAATACAAGCGACATTTCAGTTTGTGTGACAATAATTAGTTTTCTGAATTAGTACCGTACAACTATTTTACAATTTTGCTTTTGGGGCCTTATTTTCTAATTTTTTTTTAATCCTCCTTCTTATATTTTATGTGAGCTATATAAATATAATTTCAAACAGAGCTACTGCATGGGTGGATCAATCGCTACAAGTGTGTGGACTAAATTTTGAAAATCCATGCTTCTCAAGTGGACAGCTGTATGTGGCCTGTTCACGCTTCGAAAAACCTTCTACTGTAATTTATTTGTGTAAGCACCGGACGAAAAAAAAAAAAAAATTCTATTTAAAAATTACTTTAAAAACATAATTATGACACACACCCTTTTTTCTTTGAGTTGCATTAAAACGCATGCCGGGTTCTCCCTAGTCCTAGTAATATAAGTATAAGAATTAAAAGAATTATTTTTAGTATTTTGTCTTACATAATTAAGATATGATTATCTATGTACTACTGTTACTGAAAACGACATAATCTGCTGTTTTTTTTTATTTGCAATGTTAATCTTGCAAAATTAAATTTAATTATCTGTTAATGTTAATTGCCCAAATGACTTCAGCTGTAGTTAACTAATTATAAAAAGTGTTGGACTGCGATAAAGCTTGAAAATGAATTAATAAGACACGAACAAACTGATGAAGGCACGGGCCGAAACGTTTAATTGTGTATAATGTATAATATTATTAAAGCGTAACTTATATTGACACAATTTGTTCATGTCTAATTAATCCAGCTGTAGTTAGGATGAGCCAACATCATTAGAATAAATTAATTAAAAGAGATTGAATTTAATCATTTTAGAACTTAAATAGTTACATCAATGTGAGTGCATTTGGTATAAGAGGAGACATTCTGTTGTAACCCTAATTTAATTTTAGAGTAAAAAAAATGATAACTTTTACATTTTAATTATAGTTTTATAGTATTATTATATCTGATTACCGTATTAAAATCGCATCCAGTACCAAAGACTCACACTAACCACAAAAGCTTACCTATAAGTATCAAATGCTTTCAGTGAGGCATTTTAATCGTCCTCTAAGTGTTTCTTCTGTCCACCAGCAGACAGCCTTCAATTACTTCCATGCCCAAGCTCACCATATTCTATCAGGGCCTTTGTTCGCCTGACATTCGCACATGTCCAAACACGCTAAGCTGGGACTGCATTAAAATGGTGAAGATGTTGAGCAGACCTGCCTGTGTAAGTGCCTCAGTGTCTGGGATCCTGTCCCGCATTTGATTTGGATTTTTCCTGATTTTCTTGCATGGCGTTGATAAACGTAGACTTTTGCATGGGTGGATGGAGCTTGATCAAACTTAATTTACAATAATTTACATACTCTCGATTATCAATACCGGTATTCAAATGCTGTAAGGTACCGGTACTGAACTCAAATATATTGAAAAGTAATAATACTGGCATCCACCCCTTGTGGGACAAGTCTGCAACTGCAACTAGAATTCTACAGAAAGATCAATAATTTGAAAAGGCTAGATCTCCAACATTTTTTAACAGATTTTAATGGTACAACTTTTAGTACTTTTACATTTCTACTCCCTTATTGATTTGAATGATTTTTTAAAATTTTATAGGGCTCTCTAGAGCAATCCTGAGTGTAGCGGCTAGTAAATAGTGCTACAAATTACAAATGTTTTCAACTTTTGTCTTTTCCTGGTACCAGTACTTAAGGTACAGGTAATTGCAGACTATGTGACACAGATTATACCAGTACCGGTATTGAAAATTAGAGGCAGTTTAGCAATGTCTCAATTTGCAAGACATTATATTATTTACGATTTCAGAGATTTTGTGATAGTTTTATATCCCCGCCACTTTTCCCTAGTACATTGAATAAATTGTACCGGGGTAGTTAAGTTTCTATACCTTCCTGGGAATTTTCTCAGTATTAGTGCATTATCTTTTTATCAGTTTCTAAATTATTCTAGAAGGTAAATTTTTTTATCTATATTGGGTAATGAAAGTCTCTATACCGGTAACTATAACAGTTTAACAATGATAATTAATGTCCTTATTATTAATTATGTTTTGTATTTTTCTATAACTTTCATGTAGTTTCCTCAAATACTGGGTATCACGAAATAAGATTTTAATTAGAAGATAATTTTGACAATTTCTAATAATTTTCAATATAATTTTCTCTTATACCGGTACTTATAATTGTCTAAGCTATATACATATTTAAGTTAAAGACTATATTACTATATACTACGCCGGGGATTGGGGTTACTCTGGGGAATGGGATAACACCAGGGATTGGGATCAGTCTAGGGGTTGGGGTCACACTGGGGATTGTGGTCACTCCGACAAATGGGATCACTGCGGGGAACTTATTTCATTTTAAGTACCGGTACCGTACCCGTAACCATAGTTTTGCAATTGGTGAAATCTTTTTTTTTCATGGGAAAACTTTTAAAATCTAGACTAGGAACATGTTCAAAATGACTATTACAGTACAAGAAATGGGTTGGGTAAAAACTGTTTGAAACAATCATTATAAATATGTTTTTAATTTGGATATTAGCTATTATAAAAAGTAGGGTTTTTTTTTCGAATGCAATCCTGAGTGTAGTGGCTAAAAAATAGTGCTACAAATGTTTTCAACTTTTGTCTTTTCCTGGCACTAATGATACAGTTAATGGCAGACTTATGTGACACTGACACAGATTATACCGGTACATGTACTGATATTGAAAATTAGAGGCAGGTTAGCAATGTCTTAATTTTCAAGACTTCATTTTATTTACGATTTTGTGATAGTTTTATATTTCCCCACCCCCCTCTTTTCGAATAAAAATGTTGCTAATGAACTGTCATATTTTTACTATTTGATAATTTATTTTTCTCAATTCTCAATATTGACAGTAAGAAACATTGAGTATACATTCAAGAATTCACTTCATCGCCCACCCAGTAAGAAACATTGAGTATGAGTATGCATTCACGAATTCACATTCACTCACACAGTATGAAACATTGAATATAAACCGAAGAGGGATTTATTCAAAATTGGTAGAGTTAATTTTCCAAAACTGAGTTATGGTTTTTGTTACTTACCTTAACGTTAATTATAAATTGTCAAAAGAGACAAAAAGGGATTTTCTCTTTATTTTATTTGTTTAATCATGTACAACTATAAAATATCACCTGATGTTATTGAGATCATAATGGCAGACATTTTGCCATTATTTTTACTTGCTTTTATGAAAAGTCATCACAATTCCTTATTTTAAAAATAAGTATCTATGTAATGATGTTTATTTTACTTAATTTTTTTGGTCTAAACTTGACCTTAAATGACCAAATTTAAATGATCACTAATTAAATCATTATCGTCACTAAAGGAGTTCATTGACAGCCGAGTTCTACGCTAGAGAAATACTTCAGATGTCATGTGTTTTTAAATTGTTAATTGTTGGGCCTACCCTTCCTCTTTTCGTGCCCCTCAACTAAAAAAAAAAAAAAGGAAGTCCCAGATCCCTTTTACAGCACATTGTTATATATTTTCTTTTAAAAAATATAATTCTACGCTAAATTCTGTATACGGTACTGAAATATTATGGTTATTTATTTTAACATTGAAAACTATACCAGTAACAAAGTTCAAATCAGTCACATAATTGGGTCTTTAGATACCAGGGTATAAGTCTTAGAGTGCCGGTTTTAGTCAATGCTATTGGGCTATGAAGTTTCGCTCCACTGATCCACTTAAATGGCATTTTCTTATTTAAAGTAAAGTATATTTAAATTTTAGTTTGTATTAACGGTACTTTATAAACTAAAATAAAAGCAGATATATTTGATTTATTCGATTTACAGTACAGGTATTTAAATTTTAGAAAATCATTATCATTGTTTTTCAAAATCTGAATGTATTTAAATTGCTTCATTTCTTTAGCGTAATGGTTCTTATAATTACCGGTATATTAAAGATAACTCTGATGAGAAATAGTTTTCTTTTTATATTCTTCTTTTCTCAAAATTAAAATTGTTACTTGGCTCCATTTGAAAAAATGCTTATCAATACACATTTACTCAAACACAGTAAGAAACAGTCTACTTTGAATACACAGACACTCACATGGCAAGAAAAAATGAGAACACATTCAAGAGATACACAGCAAGAACCAAAGTCATCTTTAACATTGTCTATGTACATATGATTTGAATAAATGGGCCATGAAACATAATTCTCTCACTACTACTAACTGCAAAGTTCATTTCAACAATTAAGTACCGGTACAGAAAAAAAGTCATATTTTTCTGTGTCTATATAACAAACATACCCCATCGGTAATTAAATGGCAATGAAAGTGTCATTTAAAAAAATATTCAGAATAGCAATGTCCAAAATTATCAAATTTTCATCCATATTCTTTTTACATTTATAATTAAAAAAAGCACTTTAATGATGCTGTATTTAAGATACGGTAAAATAAGATTCTTTTAAACCAAAACATTTAAAGTACTTGGCATAATCAAGATGTTTTTATAAATAGGCATGAAAAAGGTAATAGATTTTGTGTTAAAAAAAATTTGCTTTACAATTCATTTTTAAGCAACCATCATGAGCTTCAAGACTTCAACTATCCATCAGTTCATAGCTTATAACTAACTGCTAGCTTAATAAATATATTTTTTATATACTGGTACCGGGTAGTTAATTGTCACTCACTTCATCAACCATGACCTCAAATAACAAAATTGGCAGAATCAAATAAAAACTATTCTGGATAACACTCATCCCACCTAACATTACATGGATACATCTTCAAATAATTTTTTTTTAAAAGCTGGTTACTTCTCTTAATGAGGATTCTGTTAATGGCAATTAAAAAAAGAATTAAGCATCACTCAGTTACTGTTTGTGTGAAAAATTCTTTCAACAATTTCTTTAAAGCATGTCCTCCCACATCAGAGCAAACTCAACAAGAAAATGTATTTCAAAAATAAGTTCCAGGCCAGAGACAGTAAGTTTAACATGCAAACAAAATCCTAAGTTTAACATACAAACAAAATTCTAATGTTGACAAATTAATTACGGTACCGTACTTCACATTTTTCTATTGCATGAGTGTTATCTTTTCAATGACTAATTTTTGTACTGACCAGTCATCAAAATCATGTCCAAATAGTTGAAATGAATTAATCTTACAACATAAATCTCAGCTTCAACAAACAACATAGATCAAAAATGTTGATGGCATGGGGAAAAACCCATAAGTAATAAAGATGTTATTTGTCTGCTTATCATGAGCTTTGAGTGCCTTGAACCATGGTGTTGACGGGCAGAAAAGCCAGCATTTGTTTGTTGGGATTCGTAGCGTCCTGCGTGAGCTCAACAACATAAAGTTCCCCATCCATCTCCACCATATCACCATTTCGTAAGCTTGACAGCTGTTCCTCAGTGAGCTCCAGTCCGGTTGTCGGTTCACTGCTGTTGCCCTCTGCCGTTTCAACAGAGCTGAACATCTGTTGCAGTTGTTGACCATCCACCATTGCTAAAACTTCAGTGTGGGGTTGCTCAATCACAATCTGTTGCTCATCAATGATAGGCACCTAAACAAGAGTAATATTTTTGCACACATTACATTACATGGTATGAGTAGATGACATAATGTAATAAATGAAAGCTTTGCAAAATCTTAAACTTAAACATCAATTGTTGTTAGAAAAAAAAAACTCTTTATGAGACATTGAAAAGCTGCTCAAGCAAGAAGTTGAGGAAACAAAATGGAGGTAAAAGTTAAAGGGCAAACTATTTGAAAATCACAGGAAATTTAGTATGACGTAAAGTATTAAAACTGGAATACTTCTTTGATGCTACGGTACTAAATAAGAATAGATCTACCAAGGAACTATTGTGAGAGATGAGGAAAATGGTGCTGAAAACAGGAAAGCAAAGGAGAAGACAGGAAACCTAGAGTATTGTGGGCACCATCATTGTTGTCCTGCTGTACTTATGCGACAGTCTTAAAGCTGCCATATCTTTTTCCTATTTGGTTTTTCTACATTTTACTTGAAATCACTCCCTTTCCGTTCTTCTTTACTTTGTTTTTGTCTGAGTTTTGCACCCACTCCTATTCTTTTCTATTTTTTAGGTAGATACATGTTTGTATAGATAGATTATTTAAATTTAATTTGAACTTATTAAATGATTTGTTGTTGTACTGGTGAAGGCATTTGCCGAAATTTTTACTTGTGTATTCTGTAAAATTATTATAAATGCTAAAAATTTTTACTTGTGTATTCTGTAATTTTTTTTTAAATGCTAAAAATATAGTGTTTTATTGACACAAATTGTTGGTGACAAATTAATCTATCTTAAAGTTAAAGAACGAGTATGATTTAGAGTATATATTTTGAACAGTCAGTGACACATAGCACAAGCCAAGGACCACAAACTGATTTGGTTGACACATTTTACAGCTACAGATTTTATGATGTAGAACTAATTCACTCATATGTATAAAGTGAGTAGCTCACTCATATGTATAAAGTGACTTAATCACTCAGATGTATAAAGTGACTAACTCACTCATATTTATAAAGTGACTAACTCACTCATATTTATAAAGTAACTCACTCATATTTATAAAGTGACTAACTCACTCATATGTGTAAAGTGACTAACTCACTCACGTGTATAAAGTGACAGCGCACACCGACATTAGCTCACACAGAAAACAGCGCGCACCGACAAATGCGAACACCGAAAATTCCGCACACGGTCAGTTGCGAACCTTGAAAATTAACACGGTTCAGTTAAGTTGCTGATTAATTAATATCGGCCTAAAAGGCTAGTTGGGAAGAATACAATTAACATTAGTATAAATTATAACAGGAAAAATAATTGTTGTGTTTAAAATTGTGTTTCTATATTTAATTTTATTACGAAAATCTACTTGGAGGTAACTTTGCATTATAATAATAATAATAAAATAAAGAAATTTATATTTATAAAAAAAGAGTATTGCTGCAACCATAAAAAGCATGCTATTTTTTTCAAATATCTGTCGATTTCTCATAAAATAACAGAATACACACTGTTTGTCAATGAGTCAGGGTTGTTAATTTTTTAGCCACTTAAAATTATTGTATATCATTTTAATAGCGCGATTGAATGCTCCTTAATTTACATTTGTTTCTAAATACCGGTATTTATATTTCAATTTAAGTTAAATTTAAGGCGATTAATTTTAAAAAAAAGAAACATGTCGATTATAAAAAACAACAGAATATCACAATATTCACATTTTTTCAAATGTAATTAAAGTGATATTTTTCTAGCACCTACCAGTATACAATATTACAACACATTAAAATTTCAAATGAATAATACCGTAAATTTTGATTAAAAGTGACAAGTAATTTAGACAAGATATCACATAAAAGGCTACCCCCTCAAAATTTAAAAATAATTTAAAAAATTGTGAATAATATATAGTTTTAAAAGTTTTAAATGAAAACATTTAAGAAATTATCACATATAAAATTAAATTAATATTAAGTACCCGGTGCTAATTAAAATAAAATATATGAAACAAAAACAATTTTTCTTTAAATAAGAGAAAACATTTAACCAAGTCAGAGGTGTAAAACCTACAGGTAGATAATGTCAAGCTTACTTACTGACAACCTACTGGTAGAAATGTCATGGTCATTTATTGACAACCTACTGGTAGAAATGTCATGGTCATTTATTGACAACCTACTGGTAGATAATGTCAAGATAATTTATGACAACCTAATGGTAGATTATGTCAAGATAATTTATGACAACCTACTGGTAGATTATGTCATGGTAATTTATTGACAACCTACTGGTAGATTATGTCAAGATAATTTATGACAACCTACTGGTAGATTATGTCATGGTAATTTATGACAACCTACTGGTAGATTATGTCATGGTAATTTATTGAAAGGTTTGAGGAACATAATGTTGGCATTAGTTCCTAGCATTTTCCGTACTGTTATTATCAGACTCTTATGGTGTGTACAGAAATATTTGAACTAACTTTTGTAAAATGTGAATTACTCTCACTATTGTCTTTTAAGCAAATAATTCTTCTTTGCCCAAAAAAAAACGAACGTGTCGGCAAAAAGCCTTCACCAGCGAACAAACAACAGAAAAACTTTATAAAATAAAAAAATAGCACTTAGCTTAGAATTAGTATCCATGGGCAGCAAAAGAAATGTGGGCACATTTTCCGACACGTTCGTTGTTTTGTTGCGTTCCTTTTTTCAGGTTTAACCATACTCTGTTTTACTCATTTTATATTGTGCTAACCTGATGGCAGTCTCTCCCCTTATTACACCTTCAATGAATTTACAATTACATTGTAAAATTACATTGTAAAAGTAAAATAACATTGTACGCATTTTTATCTGTTCGCTAAAATCAACGTTCGCTATTGTCAGTGTGCGCGATATTCCGTGTACGCTTTTGTCCGTGTACGCAATTTTTGGAGTGCGCAGTTGTGTCTTTGCGGAGATTACTATGCGCGATTATCGCAGCCGGTCAGGAAAGAGGACAGTCCGTGGGAGAACTCCGCCGGACAAGATTTTCGCCGGAACATGCCTACAGATTGAAAATTTCGTTTAGCATACCACCTTATACTATAC